ATTAATATCGTAATGATCCAATGTTTTTTGTTCAATACCCAAGTAAAGATATTCTTCTCTTAATATCTAAGTATTTTGAAGTTTTCCAGTTTTTAAGGTTTGGTTATTTTCGGATATTCGCGCGAAGCTACTCAATGGCTATCTGCACTAGTTGTCCCTAATGTTGATCTGATAGACTAAAAGGAAAGCAGCTAGTCAACAGCACCAACCACCAGCTCTTTGGATACTCTTATCTGAACGAATAGGAAAATTTGAACGTCAACTTATAACGCACCCATGGTCGTAACTGGACGCGAACATTGGACCCGCAGGCCCGTAGTCCGGCATGCTTACAATTGTACTACGCATGGATCTGAAGTTGTTAAATTTTCCTTATAATGAATATGTCGGCGTAACGTCTTTTTTTTTTTTAATAGCAAGTTTATTTAGAATTCTTTCTCCAACTCTTTATACGTCCGAGACCATCAGATTGCGAGTCAAGTGCCCTAACTACAACAACAGGAATTAGAGCTCATATATTACGGAACCAAGTCCCTTTGCGAAGCCCGAGAGGAACTTCTCATGAGGTTTTTGTTACAATAACACTATGGCGTAAATACTTCTTTTATTTTAGACTTGTTGTGGGAACCCTCTTACAATTTTCCTGTTGTGTTATCATGGTTAATTAATGTTTCTCTAGTTTTTTCTAATGTTGAATTTGGTTTTAAAATAATTAATCTTTTATCCGGATTAAGGTCCATGAAGTGCTTTTTTTTTGGGGAACTTGTGGGTTGTTTTGTTGTCAAATAACTGAATTATATTCTTAATGTTTACTTAGTGTCATATCTTATTTATTTTAAGTGTCGAAGAGGCCTACACTTTGCCAGATGTTCATATTTGGAAAGTTGGCGTGGTCTTTAAACTTTTCAGATAATTTTATTTTTTCAGCGTCTATCTCAAATAATTTTTAACTTCCTGATAGCGCAATACTCTTCCAGGGTTGCTCAGACGATTTTTATATTCATTGTCCACAAGTACTGAGTTTTTTATAGCTTATCAAGTTGATATGATATTTCTTTGGCTATAATATTGTACTCTTTTCCAGTATTTTCTTTTTTTTCTCTTTCATTGTTGTATTGTTTTTCTTGCAACATAGATATAATATGCTAATAGAAACTCCTGTTTTTGTCCTTTAAGAATTGGAATAACTCAACAAATGTGGTATTAAATAGAAATAAAGATGAAACTTACGGAGCCATCTCAAAAGTAAATAGACACCATGATATTTATTCAATAGTTATTTAATTACGAAAGGCATCCAACGGCTCCCATGGCCAAGTCAGTCACTTGATATGAACCCCATCGAGAATGTCTGGGCCATACTTGCTCGAGCAGTGACAAAACCAGCGTCCCGTGGAGAGCTACTTGATGTTTTGCGTGCAGCCTGGGTCAAGATCCTACAGGAAAAAATTGCAGAACTCATCAATTCCACGCCAGAACGAGTCAAAGCATTGAAAAATGACTCATCGATTCCATGCGAGAACGAGTCAAAGCACTGAAAAATGCTAGTGGCAAATCGACTAAGTACTGATGCACATTTGTAAATATCTTTGTCAAGTTGATAATGTGAGATAAATGACTAGTTGAAAAAAAAATCATGGTGTCTATTTACTTTTGATATGTCTCTGTAGTTTGTAATGTTATATGATAAGTGTAAATGTATTAAAATTAAAAAAATATCAAAAATATCTTTTACGTTTTTAAAAGTGTGCATGGTACTGTATTTTCCTTGTGTTTGACAGTATTTTAAATTAAACTAAGACTTAAAATTGTTAATTTTGTAATTAGGACCTCAACCTGCTAACCTGGAAAAGTGTTTTCCACGTCCTTGCTCTTTGGATCAAAACAAGGATGAGTTGAAGAATAATGTCGATGATAAAAATATCCAGCCAGGACCCTTCTACGATACTAAATTCGTCACCTCTCCTGATCTGAAACCCACGAACAAGGAAGGAGGAAAAATGGGGATTGAAGTAACTTACTCGTGGCGGAAGGCTGGTTTCACTCCTTGCAGTGCTTCGTGTCTAGGAGGTATGATTTTAAATTCCCCTTTTTTACATAATTATTTTCCCGAAAGGGGGGCCGAAGGCCGTCTGGAGGGGTCACCTGTTTTAATCACTTGTACCACTATACAGTAGTGTGTTGTCTATCAGTCAGTCAGACAATAAAATGGCGTCCCATAAGAGACGCTTAACGTTGCAATCTGTACTGTCGTGATGAAAGTAAAACGTGCGCATGCCACGATCACGAGAAGAATTATGCACACTGTAGACTACAACACAGCATGACATATGAACTTCAAATGCCAGTAATAAAAATATTCGTTACTCTTAGTTTTGGTTTTATTTACTCTTGAAACAGAACATTTCCGGGGACCCTGCGGAAGTACATCTAGTTTTTAATATTTCCTTCAGTACAAGTTCTTTAGAGCGTGACGATAGAGGTCAGAGATTATATTGAAACACTGGAAACGCAATAATAAGCCTTGAGACTTGAGGTGTGTCTTCTCAGTTGCTCTGGTTAAATCAATTTTGAAATATCTATGTCGAAAAACCTATAATTTGGAATCGGAACTCATATACGAGTATATTGCGAAATGATCTCAGTACTTTATACTTTATCATACTTAGCTTGTCTTCAGCTATTTTTCTGTGAATTCATTATTTGTTATATGAAAGCTTTTCCTGTTATGTGAAGACTTAAGTGTTATGATTAAATATAATACTTTATTCCTCGGTAAAGTCCTTTTTTCTTACATGTAAATTACATTTTCTAATGTCAAACATTATTCTCTTCTTTGTGAAATCCCCTCTTTCTTAAGTAGAACACTGACTTTTTTTGCTGACCCCTGTTGTTTTTAGTTGAATATGACCATTTTAATATACACCTGGCCTAGCATGGCCTGGTAGTTTGGGCATTCGACTCGCAACATGCGGGTCGCGGGATCGAATCCTATCACCGAACATGCTCGCCCTTTCAGCCGTGGAGGTGTTATAATGTGATAACCAATCTCATTATTTGTTGGTAAAGAGTAGTCCAAGAGTTGGCGGTGGGTGATGTTGACTAGCTGTGTTCCCTCTAGTCTATTACTTCAAAATCAGGGGCGGCTAACAGAGATAGTCCTCCAGTAGCTTTGAGCGAAATTCATAAACAAACAAAGAATAACATGCATCTACCATTTATTATATGGATCTTTCGATGACGAGGAACCCACTTTGAGACTAATAATGGCTGGAGACGGCTTGAATGGGTAATGAAACATAACAGCAAATGTACAACGTTTCGACAAGGTTGTACCTGATGATGACAAAACCTTGTCGAAACGTGTACATTTGCTGTTATGTTAAACTTATATAAAAGTTTTTCTTCGTTACCCATTCAAGCCGTATCCAGCCATTATATGGATCTTTATTTTTTACGAAAAATTCTCTACCTTTTATGTGGACTCTCTTCCTGTCTCTCTCACACACACCCTTCTCGTATCAAACCTAATATATACTCGCCTCCTTTAGAAAACGAAACTCATACTTTTCTCGTATAGCCTGCTTTCTCATGCTGTTATATACTACATATTTTATATATTTTTTTATTTTTCAGGCATCCAAGAAACTATCATTTAGTGTGTTCGGGTCATATGACATGATGTTATTATATTTCTTTATTTTTCAGGTATCCAAGAGACCATCATTCAATGTGTTCGGGTCGTATAACATTGCTGTTATTATAATTCTTTATTTTTCAGGTATCCAAGAGACTATCATTCAGTGTGTTCGGGTCGTATAACATGCTGTTAATAATTCTTTATTTTTCAGGTATCCAAGAAACTATAATTCAGTGTGTTCGGGTCGTATAACTTGCTGTTATTATAATTCTTTATTTTTCAGGTATCCAAGAGACTATCATTCAGTGTGTTCGGGATCACGACCAAGCCATCGTGAGTCCTTACCTGTGTGACATAAGTAAGAAACCTGGAGCTATCACTCAAACCTGCAATGATCATGCTTGCCCACCGAGGTAATTATATGCCTACTTGCTCTTTAAGTGTTTGTGAAGAAACTGTATTAAACCTTAATCAGATGAAATCGTCTTTTATTTCGATCCAGCAGAAACGCAATCCTCGACGAGAATATAGGAAAACAAAGAATATAAAATATATTAAGGTTTTCTTTATTCTTTAGCATAGTGAGGGGATATGGAAGAATGGTGAAATGCATTTCAATCAGACATTACCTTCAGTATAGCATTAAGTTATCATTATGAATTAGGTTATTTTTTAATTAACTATACATTTTTCTCAGCTTCTCAGTGTGAATAGACTATTATTTATATATTCTTCAGGTTAGAGAGTTTTGATAAACTATCTACCGAATATATAAAATATATTCATGTTTCGTGGGACGGGATTCGAACCCTCGACAAACAAAGAACAGCGAATAAAAAAAATACTGGAAATTATAACAATTCTGCGAAGTACTTGTATTCTACTAAAATCTCGACTTAGATTTTTCATTTAAAATAAGATTATAATTGGTACGTTCAGACATACTGTTTTTATTTATTGTAGTATCTGTTATGCACACTTTTGACCCTATGTCTTGAACAGATCCTTAGGGTTTTCTCTCCCACTATTCATTCTAAATTCAAAGATTTAGTTTTATAATGTTAGACTACAGCAATGGATTTTAAATCTATTTGTATGTATTGTACGACAAAAGTGTGTAGTGTAATATGTCTTATAGATGTTTCTAAATATTTGTCTCCAGGATTAAAGCTAAATTCTATAGGAGATCAGACCCTCTTTTCTTTTTGAATCACAAAGAAATCTGTAGTAAAACCTTAACAGTTATAGAAAAAATAAATAAATTAACTACAATATATCATCTCAACTAATCTTGAGGCCCCCTAGTGACATGTCTGCGGACTTATACTGCTAGAAACCGGGTTTCGATACCCGTGGTGGGCAGAGCAGAGATAACCCCGTTGTATAGTTTTGTGCTTAATAACAAACAACAACTAATCTTGAGATCATTCGTTCTCGCGTTTACGTCAGCGTTTTTAAATCAAATAAAAATTCAATTAAAGTCAAACATTCAAAACTCTTTCTTCATCAGAGGCAAAATATGGATCTGTTTTTGGTGGAGAAATACTATTGGATGTGGAATTAGAAAAAAATTATTGGCACATATTGTCACTAAGCGTCATTTTTTTTTTTCGGTCAGGAACAAATAACTTTCTTCGCTACAAAACACAAGATGACATAAGCATTTGTTCCATCAAACTTCACACGAGATCTGCTAGTCTAATTAATATATAAAAAAGCTAATTTTTCAAGTTCACCAATAATAAAAAACGCGGGGGTGTGCTTTGTGCAATACCCGTTTAGATGTACAAAGTTTGTTAGTTTGTTGTCAAATGCAAAACTACACAATGGGCTATCTGTGCTCTGTATACCATGGGTATGGAACCCAATTTTTAACGTTATAAGCCCTCAGACTTACAGTTGTGCCATAAGGGGGGGGGCGATATATAAAGAAAGTCAATTAGTGCATGCACATTATCAGAGTATAATTGTTTGTTTGTTTTGAATTTCGCGCAAAGCTACACAAGAGCTATATGCGCTAGCTATCCCTAAATTAGCAATGAAAGACTAGAGCTAGTCATCATCACCCACCGTCAACTAGTGGGCTACTCTTGAACCAACGAATATTGGGATTGACCGTCACATTATAACGGCCACACGGCTGAAAGGACAAGAAGGGTATGTTTGAATATTTATGATGTAATTTTGCTGTTGTGCTTCTTAGTACGCTGTATTCCCCCATAGCTGACAGACTCCAGCATATGACAATGAAGTATTTCCATACAAAAATGTATAAAAAACAACATATTGACAGAAATTATGAGATACATCATACCTGATGGAATAGTACCTAAACACCTCTTCCCACTAAATAGCTACATTAACTATAATAAATAAGCCACTTACAATATATCATTATAATAAAATATTATGAGTGTATTAAAGGGCATATATGTAAATACATTCCTAGTAGGTTGAACTAGTGAAAAGTGAGCGATTAACAATGGAACAGTTAATGAATGTGCAGGACAATCGCACGAACCTGGCGTCAATGAAGTGTTAGTCACGTACAAATGTTAACAATGTATTATTACATGGACATGGATAAAAAGGGTCGGACGAAGTATTGAATGCAAACTACGGCCCTTGTGTAAATACAACATTAACATTTACTGAAGCGACAATAAACAACGCTATAGGAAAGGAGAAGAGGTCAAAAATGTACCTGACCCCCCGAAAGATCGAGACCGAAACACCGATGCGGACTTTGATAATGATTGATTTGAACCGACATGTTTTCTTAACGTCACGAAGAAAAATAGATGACGATATTCACTAACATTTGTCAGTTATATTTTAAGACTTCAGTTCCTTAAAAACGTACCGAACTCCTATTATTACTTCTCTCCTATTGGACCTGTTATTCAACCATAGAAATAACGTTTATTATTACTTCTCTCCTAATGGGCCTGTTATTCAACCATAGAAATAACGTTTATTATTATTACT